TAGAATCCATTTAATATTACTGACAAGCTTATCATCGAATGATATATGATAGGTATAAATTATATAGATAAATGTACGTCTGTTTATTGATATTTATTATTATACTTTGTTCTTGAATACGTGTTTACGAGGTAGCTTGTATTTCATTACTATAAAAATAATACGATCTATGATAAATTCTCATATGCGAGTATTTCTCTGTGTGATGAAATTAATTCGATATTATTGAGATTATCATCGAATAATAATATATGCAGACATAAATTGCATAGACAAGTGCACGTTCAATCATGTAAAAGTCATGCCAGTTAATGCAGTGAAAATAAATTGGGCAGGTATTAATTGTGCAGACAAGTGCGCATTTAATCACATAAAAATCACATATCTACAGGCTAATGCGGCGAAATAAATGGTGAATTAAAATGTCTCGTTATATATAACTTTTCTGTCAGATCGACCATCATATCAAGCCATATTGAGCAAATACAAATTGCGCGGACAAGCGCGCATTTAATTACGTTAAAATCACGTAAATTAACGCGACTGATACGTAAATTAGCAATACTAAATATACAACCTTTCATAGCTCTGCTCTCTGGTTGGCACGTATTCAATACTTAATATCGAACCGGGCATTGTATGGTAGTCGTGTAATTCATGTAAATCGAGTACCGCGGGGAGAAGTTCTTCTCAGCGTGCGAAATTTTTCTCAGCGTCGGTGTCACGGCGTGTGGTAACGGCCGACATAAACAGCGGGAGCACAGCCGCGCGCCGGCAGAAAGGCCGCGCAGAGCGAGGTCAGAAAAGGATGACGACTCCATCCTGAGAGGTTGGAGGTCCCTGCTCTCATTTATGATCTTATGCAACGTGCGCGCAATGTTATATTTCGCCGCGCCGCACGCCGGTGCATATTAAACGCCCGAGCCTTATCCGATGTGGCCGCTGCACCGCCGCCGCCGCCGCGGCGCCGAGAGCGTGATCGGTGTTTCCTTCTCCTTCGCGCAAATAACTTCGGCGAGAAGAGTCTCGCGAAGGTTGTATTCAACCGGGTACGTCACGTTTACGACACGAGTGCCTGCAGGATATACGTTAATATTTAACAAGCAAAATTGAACTTCAAGAACTTGCAAACTGAATAATGATTTTTATTTTTAACTTTGGTTTACGCGCGTGAATTTAGTTCTCGAATTTGCTATCTTCGTAATGCATATTGTGACTTATTGTCTGTTCTCCTTTTTCGCTCACATCGACAATGATCTTGAGCATTTATATGTTCTCCGAAAATATTGCATATAAATTACTGGAATTTGCGAAAATTTGTAATATACGTACCGTATGCCGCAATATTTTTGTACATTTTTGTATACGATATCTTTTAAGAATGACCTCTGCAATCGCCTTTTCTCGTGATAAATAAACGTGGCTCGCACAAAACTATTTCGTGATCGATTTTTCCGTAATGAAAATTGGATCCGAGGCTTAATTATCAAACCGTCAAAGCGGATGAAGACCTATCAAGTGAGGCACCTTCGTAATTATGTGCATCTTGCACATCGTATAAAAAAAAGTAATGTTTGTTATACGCCGCACTGTGCTGGTTTATAATTACATAAATTAAATCCACTATTAGTTCATTCAAAAACAAAACGCTATAATAATCTACACTAAATATCTTAATAATTTAAATTTTAGTCATTTATAAAAATCATAATTTATTATCTATGTTAAATTAATCTAATTGTAAATTTAATTTACATTAAATATTTTAAATTAGATATCTCAATAATTTAACTTTATCTAAGTAGTTTCAAATAAGCGCAAACGTGTGGTGTAGTAGACAGTAGAGATGGGCGATGTTTCATTGATTATACAAAAATCGATGTTTTTGCCCATTTAATAGGATGGACAAAAACATCGATTTTTGTATAATCAATGAAACATCGCCCTAGACTGGACAGCGCACAGGTCGACTGGTCAGTTACCAGGTATGTAAATATGAAACCGGAATTTACCAATAGATGACCATAGCTGTCAATGTAGTTGCCGTTAGACTGAGTCATTGACGCCATTTCCTTGTTCCGACATCTGACAAAGATTTTCAACTCACAACAATACAAGTTTCATACAACAGTATAGTTTGTAATAGCGTTGAACATGTCGAATTTTGTGCCTGAAAACTACGATTTGCGGACAGCATTGATTTTCTGTTACCATTTGAAGAAAACTGCTGCAGAATCGCATCGAATGCTTGTCGAAGCTTACGGTGAGCATGCTCTTGGTAAATCACAGTGCTTTGAGTGGTTTAAAAAATTCAAAAGTGGCGATTTTGACGTGAGAAACGAAGAACGTGGAAAACCACCGAAAAAGTTTGAAGACAGCGAATTGCAAGCATTGTTGGATGAGGATGACGCTCAAACTCAACAACAACTCGCGGATCAATTGAATGTGACACGAGAAGCCGTCTCCATACATTTGAAATCCATAGGAAAGATCCAGAAGATGGGAAAATGGGTTCCACATGAACTGAATGAAAGACAGCAGGAAAACCGAAAAACCACTTGCGAAATGCTGCTCGCCAGATACAAAAGAAAGTCATTTCTCCATCGAATTGTGACTGGCAATGAAAAGTGGATATATTTTGAGAATCCTAAGCGTAAAAGATCATGGGTAACTCCAGGCGAACCATCGACATCGACTGCAAGGCCAAATCGCTATGGACGGAAGACAATGCTCTGTGTTTAGTGGGATCAGAAAGGTGTGATCTATTATTATGAGCTGCTAAAACTTGGCGAAACCGTTAATATTGAACGCTACCGACAACAAATGATCAATTTGAATCAAGCTTTGCGTGAAAAACGACTGGAATATCAAAAAAAACAGCACAAAGTGATTTTGCGTCATGATAATATATCATCACACACAGCAAAACTGGTCAAGAAAACAATTGAGGCGTTTGGTTGGGAAATACTTTCGCATGCGGCTTACTCACCAGACTTGGCTCCGTCCGATTACTACTTATTTGCATCGATGAGACACGCACTTGCTCAGCAGCGCTTCACTTCTTACGAAGATGTACGAAAATGGCTAGATGACTGGCTTGGCTCAAAAGAGCAACAATTTTTTTGGCGTGGCATCCACAAATTATCAGACAGGTGGGAAAATGTATAGCTAGCGATGGGGAATACTTCGAATAAAATATTTTTTATCATTTTCATGCAATAAACGTGTATTTTCTGTTAAAATATTCCGGTATTATTTACATACTTGGTATACTAGAGATCCCGGGTTCGATCCACGGCAGAACCGAAAATTTTCTCACACTCGTAGCTCCTTTTAGAAAGCAATGGTAAACCACCGAGTAGTATAGGTACTCTTGCCTAGGAAACCTCTCTACCAAAAATTGCCAGAATCGGTGTTTAAACTGTAGTTCTTCATATACCTTGTGTACGTTCAATGTGCACGCACAGGTATATGATAGAATCTCTAGAAATAAGAGTCTGGACAATGTTGATCTGAAGCAAAATAGCGACGATACTTACCTACTACATTGCAAGTTGCTTGTAAATAGTGATTGTGAATTAGGTAAATTGATTTGATTTTTTTCGTAACATCCACAGTACAACAACCAGTTATTTCTGCAAAGTGATAAATTTTCGACTATTAAAGAATCAAACTATTAAAGAAAGGTTAGAATGTCATTTTTCTATTTTATAGTGTCTGTACATTTGCCTTCTTCTTAATTTCTTTTATCTCAATTAAATAAAATTATATATGACTCTTTATATGAGTTGTCAGTTTTTCAGCACATTAACATCTTTCTAAATGTGATGCCTGATTGAGCATCAAATTATTCAAAATTGCTTGTCAATTCAATTTAATTCGTAATATATTACAATAGTTTAATTGCGTTTATAAGTCCGGAAAACCAATTTGGTTGCACAATTCGAATGACTACAAATATGGTATATATGCATGTATATATATATAGCATATACATATATATATATAATTCACATTGAATTATTTAAACATTAAAGATCCGACTTCGACCATTATAGGCAATTAATTTCTAGTATTTATTTGTTCTCTCTCTGTCTCTCTCTCTCTCTCTCTCTCTCTCACATATACGGTCTAAAATAAGATTTCTTATTGTTTATCTGGATTAAGCTTAAAATCAATTTACTTAATTCACAATATTTCGATACTTTTACGCAGCTTACAATAGTAAGTATCGTTGCCATTTTGCTTTAGATCAACATTATCCAGACTCTTACTTCTAGGAACTCTAGTATATGAGAGGAAGGCGCCTACGCGTTGGTGATAGCACTTAAGGTATTTGAAGAAGAAATAGTTTCACATTATTAGTTTGAATCAATTAGATCGTACATACATTCAGAAAAATTATAACTTGTTTTATATGCTAAACCGGTTTAATCATAAATTAAATTATATTAAAAATTGTTTATATTTTATTTATAATTGCAACAAATTTATTCCTACACGCAGCAATTTAATATGTTTAAGATATATTTGAGAGAAAAATCTAACACGACTATAAAATTGTCGACACGATCGACGGAACATTGCAAGCGTTTCTATTTCGTGACAAGATTGTTTCGGAAATATGTATATCATAAGTATTCGTGTAAAGCTTGTGATACGCGTGTTTGCATTACATGTCGATACCGATACAAACGTCTGTAAGAAATATCAACTACGTGACTTCAACTTTTGAGAAAATAAATTTCAGCTTAAGGAACTGGAGCGAGTTAGCGTTATACTGTAAACGCGTCGTGGTCGTATATACAGCTACTGTAACTACTTTAAGGTAATGCTTTTCCTAAGTAGTTGGCACATCGTGTGCACAGTTATATTTGTTTGGTTAATAATCGCGAAAATTTACCTAGTAATAATCCGCGGTGAAATTTTCGACAGTTCGACAATTTCCACAGCCACGAGTTGCACAACAGCATCACGAATGATAAAATTTCTGCTTTCAGACGTGCCTGATCCACCGGAGCGACCACTTGTCATAAGTTACACGTCCAAAGCCGTGAATATATCGTGGGCACCTGGTGTTAATTCCCACAACACTCCAATTTCGCAGTACGTCATCTACACCCGGTAAGTCCGTTAAATATTGACTCACGAAAAAAGCTCCCTTGCTCAAGCCAACTCGCCGATATGGCGCTCTGAATTTACTCAGATAACTCGGAAATTGCAAATATTATATTAAAAGCGTAATTTTTGTTTTGTAAATAGTAAGATGGAAATCGATGTGATAAATTGACGTAGAGACGTTGTCGCCGTCACGTCGCGAGCTTGTACACATAGAGAGATGCAAAGATTAAAGTAAAAAATTAATTCTTTCAATTTAACCAGCGAGTCCTCTTTCCCTGTAATGTCATTTAGGAGTTACGTCGTGACGTCAGTCACTAAACTTTACTGTTGATTTTCACGACATGCCACTGTCGCTTTCTCGCGGAAGTTGAGCAAATTGCTACGCCGGAGTGAATTAATGTCGCTTTTTCGCGGGGAAAACATTTTTTAATAGGAAAAAAATCGGAGCATCTCTACGGGACACGCCCGGAAATAGCTCGGTTTACGCTCAAGTAGATTTCAACCTGATTATCTTACGTGTAGGACTAGTGGCCTGGCTTTCGTGGTCCTCACTCGTGTTAGGGGGTGGAAGAAGAAACGGATAAAATAAAAGGAATTACCGAGAATAAGAACCGCGGTGTCGATAAGCACCCTTTGTTCTCCGCTGCGTCTCTTGGTTCCGTTATCTCTCCCTTTTGCCCCTCCCCTCTTCCACCCAACCCGTTCCGCTGGGTCTCTTGACCCCGCGACCGACTTCCACGTTTTACCCATTGCTACGCCATCACCTTTTCGTTTACCCACGAATTTCCCCTTCGATGCCGCCGGTAAAGCCAAACTACCAGCGTTGCAATATATACGTCGTATTAGAAAAAAAATGTAAAAACGCCGGAATAACGCATAAAACTGGAAAAATATTTTCGTACCATTGTGTGGTATATAAACAATATAATATATACAACGAAAACTATACATACACGAATGTATGTACTCATGACGGTACGTTCTGCAAAACTACCGCGAATATGGAAATCGCAAATACGAGAAAGAGGAATATATAGAAAGATTAAGGTTGAATAAAAAAAACAAATGTAAAACCCCGAAATAAAGAGCACAATTTTTCGATTTTTCATTTAATCTCATCTTAAATAGAAAATTTACGCTTAATTTTTAAGACTATATGTGTTTGTGAGTGGCAAATATTCCTTCCTAGAAAAATGCATGACTTGTTAAAAAAAGCAAAAAGATAAAAAGTTGTTTCCCTTTTTATTCGTTATTATGTTTGTTAATTCCTCCGAGAGTAATGTTTTCGAATCTAAAAAGAGATTACAAATATCGAATGTACAGGAATACATGAATAAAAAGTCGTAAATCAGGGAGATTCTGTTTTAACATCTGCACAAATTGAAGATATTGAATGCTGTTAAATCTAATTCTAATAATGTTAAATCCGCTCTCTTTATTTACGATCATTTATAGAAATTTTGTACGTTATAATTACTCTCTTAGTATAAAGAAAGGACAATTTAAAGACGCTTGAATCTCTTATTTTAGAATATTTTCATTAAAAAAAATGTGTAAAAAAGTGTGTTTCTGCTCTCCATGGAGTTTGGCAAGTTTTCAGCGATTTAAAAAATTCAGTCGATGATATACTCTTTATATAATAACGTAAAGCCTAGCAAAATTGCTTTCTATCGACCGTTAGCGATGTATTTGTGAACTTGTACCTCGGCCAACTACGAGCACTCCACGTTTCGATCTGGTCATACCGAAAGGGTTAATTTGCACCGATGCGATACGCCGTGGTAGTCATCGAGCTCACGTTTCGATTTCGATGCAGCGATGAGTTAATTCAATCGATGCATTGTACTGCCCGAACCTTCTCTATCTTTGAAAGGAAAAAAGAAATAAACGAGAGGAAAAAAGAAATAAAAATGTCGGTACAGTTTTATTATTAAATCCCCACATTGCCGGACGTTCATTTCGCTACGCAACGCGGAACATCGCAGTTCTCTCGTTCCCTGGAAGGCGAATACTCGCGCGAGACTACGAGCGGATGGAATTCTTAATCAAGTTTCCATTTTCTTTCTTTTTTTCCGCCCCTATGTCTCGACCGCTCGGTTGCCGCCGCCCCGCGCGCGCTTTCTTCCCTTTCTTCCGGTCGCGAAGCAGACAAAACCCCGAGAGTAGAAGTTGTAGGAAATAATATATCAGTCGGTGTCGTTATGGTCGCCGAATATTGAAGTTTCGCCCCGCGAACCATTTCGCCTTGCCGCTCGGGCTGGCAGGCCCTTTCAGAAAACTATCGTAATACCTCATAGAACTTGGAAAATATTAGTTTTATAATAAAGTTCGGTCGAACTTCGTTCAGCCGAGCAAGTGAGAGCAAGAACGAGAGCAAACGCGCGCGCGAGAGAGAGAAAGAGAGCCTCGCGGACGGGCTGCACAATCGTTTCGTTCGAAGATTATTAATCTTCGCGGAAATCAACCGCCGTTTTGACGAGGTTCTCCTTGCAATGGCATCTCACCGATCCTCCAGCTGGAAATGACGTCGACACGCTGCCAACACCTTCCGACGGTCGTATATAATCACGCCAGCATCACAAATCCTCCAATACGAACAATATAATACTCGTCAAAAAATGTGGATTACACTGTTAAATTCATAATGTCAAGTTACATTCAATTCAAGTTATTTTTAATTATTTCTATAGATCTCCTAGTCAATATGTCGTTAATTTAATTAAAAATGGAGTTAAACAATTTAAACACAGACACATACTCATGAAAATATAATTAAATTCGAGACTCATTTAGTTTATTATTTATTGAATACATATATTAATTTGGATGTTTACTTTGAAATTGACCACAAGAATGGTTTAATTTACGTTTAGACACACATACGAAAGTTAGAAATAATAAAATGTTATTTTAATTCAAGAGGAATTGGGTTGCCATTGCTCTCCTTTGACATTTAACAGTTTATTACTAGTAAGAATCGCGAGCGACACGAATAATATATGTCCTCTATTCCCATACGCGACACACGGAAAACATTATAAAACACCTAAAACACCGGTAACTTACGGAAATACGCGGCGTACATCCCACTTTTGGTATGTGCCGGCCTCCCTTGCAATTTAGTAACCATTTGCCACATATGTTCGGATTAAAAAACATTTGTGAAACTTAAATGTATACACGTTATACACGGCCAAACACGTTTTCAATTTGCCACTGCAACGTGCATCCCGTGCAAACGGCAGCGAATTCGGACAACATCCGGGTGCAGCGCACCACCTCTCCTCTCCTCTCCTCTCCTCTTTTCTCCTCTTCCCTCTCCCCCACGAGCTCCACGTCGCCGATCATTTATCTCCGTAATATCAGAAAAGTGGCGAGGAATAAATGCCGCGACCGCGTTTATTAGACGGGACGGACTATCGATCTTAGTGTGTTAGGTGTCCCCCGTGGGCGGCCGATCAATTTCCCGGGATTCCTCCGCTTAATCTTCCCGCGTTTTGTTAAACGTATTAAAATGGAATTCCAATTTCGCGCAAACCTACCGACACCAAGAGAGCCTGCGCTCTCGTTTACAGCTCGACGATCGTGCACGATCTGCGAGTTTTAATTACTTTTGTCTCGCGCGCGTGTACTCATGTGCAGTTAGAGCTCGCTTCTCGCGGCTCAGTTTCCGGTTAGGATCGACTTTCAGTCTTGCAACAGAATAAATCGGGGAAGGCCTTTTCGACTTTTCACTACAGAGGCGTACGCTCTCAGGCAGCCACTCAGCGAGTGCATTTAACGAGCGTTAAATGAGTATTTCATTGTACGTCGTCGCGCGAATAATAGTCTAGGAAACGCTTCAGTTTTCGTCGGACACTTTCATTCAATTCGATGTAGTACAAAGAGTACCATCTCGCGACATCGCACACGCGTGAATGTTGTTTTGCGCGCTTGTAAAAATCCAGATTTCCCAATAGAGGAAAAGCTGGAAGGCTATAATGTTTACAGGGAAAATGACGTTTACTTCCGTGGTGGCTCTTCAAAAGATTCTTGCCAGGCTTATTTCCAATTTCATAAGCTGCAACTATCTTACAAGAAATTTTTCAGAGGTAGGAAACAGATGTGTAATATATATACGCTCTCGCGGAAATATTGCGTTACTGATGGTAGCTTTATACGCCCAACGTCGAGAGATAGATGCCCGTCGAAAAATCCCGCTTTTGAATTAATAGTAGCTAAAATCCGGCAGGAAAAGAACGGTTTTGCTGAAGTAACTAAAAATTTAACTAGATACAGATCTAAAAATAATTTTGTTGGACCACCAAAATAATTACGTAGAAATCTCAAGTATAATGAGCCATGCTGCAAAAAGTTTTAAAATTCTTATAACAAGTTTGAGCATCCTACATAATTATTTTGATCCAAATAAAATTATTTTCAATTCTGTATCTACACTGAGAAATAAAAATTGTTCATTAATTTAATTAATTTAGTCAAACATATTATATTTGACTTAAATACATTCTTCAAGGAAAGAAAGAAATAAAGATAACTAAATTAATTTAGTCGAATGAACAGTTTTTTTCTCACTGTAGCTAAATTACAATTTCTGCAAAATTATTCTTTTCGTGTAACTTTCGTGAATACATTAATGTGTGTGTACAATTACAATACATTAATGTGTACAATAAATATCGTCGATACTTATTAAGAAACTTATACATCTTTCTTCTTTTTTTTCTCATTTCTTCTGAGATATTGGAGAAAAGGTAATGGCGTAACGTTATCTCTTTCCGCCAAAGACCGCGGATTAAATGTAGCGTATCAGCTCGAGTCGGCCGTGAAAGTCTGGAATAAGTGAGCAGGATTAATTAAGACTAGCGCAAACGCGACCCAACATAATCGGGTGACGTTAACTCCGTGCCTTAATTCCGGGGCCGTAAACTGTTCTTCGCAGCGTCGTGAAAGGTAATGCGAGATACGTGACGTCGTTGATCACGCGTCGAAACGCTATAGATCTC